GAGAATTACAGAAAAAGAAGTGACACAAAGAAAATTACAAAAGATTAGGAGGAAGAACTGTTAAAATAGCTGATGCATTAGCTAAGCAAATTATCTAGGCATTCTGTAACACAAAGGTTTACTTTGCATAAGATCTAGCCATTATAAGCGTGGCTGCTATTTTTCAGTACTGCAAACCCAATTCTCAGGTTTCAGAGCCAGAATGCTAAAAATTGAGTAAAATCTCTAGGTTTGGAAGCCAGAACACTAAATATTGAGTAAAATGCATTTCAGCCCCTGGAAATGGAACAATTTTGTACAAAAGGATATTCAAATAGCTCTTCATTTAGCAACCACAATAAGCCTGCAAGATTTACATGATTGAGCTGGAATTCAAAGCCAAGGACCGAGAGGGGAGCATTTCTTTCTTTCTTTCTGGGATGCCCAATGAGATATCCATAATTAAACATCACACTTCCCTAGGGCAGCATGTTTTCTTACATTGACAAGCAAAATGAGGTATTTCAAATCATGCATTTCTGGCTTACAATCATCCTTAGCATAGCTATTGTTTTAATGTATTTCTGGCTATTAGGCATTTGTCTATTTTTGGTCAGTGAGGCATATATTTTAAACAATTCTGGTTTTGCATAAAAGACTAGCTATGTTGGTAGAATTACATTATAAATAGCATCTTAAGAATAATTATAGCCTATTTTGGCTGGTCATATACACATTCTATATTCAAAGGACAGTAGATGTAAGTGTAGAGTAATCCATACAATTAAAATTAAGGAGATAAAAACTTTCAGAAGAAAAAATACTTTTAGAAGTAGGAATACTTCTTTAAACTTTGCAGTATTTGTCACAGCCTGTTAAGCATATCACACGCTAGTCTCTCCCAATTTGCTGGCGAAATGCCAAACAAATCATGTTTGCTTAACATACCATCAAAAGTCGCAGCCGAATATTACATATTCAGTAACTCTTTTGTTCGGTATCAAAGAGTTGACACGTTATTTCAGTTTGATCTTACTAAAACTACCGAACTACCAAAACACAGTAACTCTTAAAGCTTACCTACTTTCTATCTAACCAAATTAGATCTCTTTCATTTCCTTTTTAAAATTTAAAGAATATGCTCAACCTAATACCAAAGATTAATGGAGTCATTTCCCAAAGTGACCATTTTATCTCAAAGGAATTTATTTCCTGAATTCTATTCAAAAAGCTTACTTTTTAAGATTAAATCTGTTCAACGATAGTCAGGTATATCTATCATGTTTTGTTTGGGGACTTACTAGCAACCACTATCACAGATAAACACAAAGGTATTTGGAACTTCATAAAGTTCTTGCCTCTCTACATCCAGACAAAAATCATGGTATGAAAATGGTAGTAGCCTAGTGGGAGAAGGAACATTTATTATGGAAATCAAGCTACCAACGATGGGCTGTGCCCACACTCAGAAAGCTCTTAAACCCATCAAATCAGCAATACGGGGTTGATAGGAGGCTAAATCCAATTCAAGCTAATAAAAATACATACTCATCCCAGTGACAACTGCCTAGATATGCAAACCCAATGCTGCTTACACAATCAAATCGAGTTTCAAAGCCACTGTAGAAAGGTCCTGATGCTTGAGTATCATAAATAATTTCTAACAATTTCATTCTTTGGTTTTTTTTATTATTAAAAGATCATTTTATTGGGGGCTCTTACAATCCACGTATCAATTGTGTCAGGCATATTTGTTCATATGTTTCCATCATTCTTTTCTAGACATTTATTTTCTATTGAGCCCTTGGTATCAGCTCTGCTTTTATGCCTCCCCCACCCTCATGATCCCTTGATAGATTACAAATTATTATTATTTTCATATCTCACACCGACCGCTGACTCCTTCCCCCATGGTTTCCGTTGTTCTTCCCCCTGGAGGGGTGTGTGTGGTTATGTGTCCATCATTGTGATCGGATCCCCCTTTCACCCCTCCTCACCACCCCCTTTCCCCTTTTGGTATCACTATTCACATTCCTGTTCCTGGATTCCGTGTGCCGTGAGCTCTTATCTCTTATCGTTAAGGCTTTCTAGCAAAAAGCTTGAGGTGATATGATGTGCATTAAATGAGTTTTCAAAATATGTTTACAACATAATTATGAATGATCATCAATGGTTATCTTCAACTAAAGCCCCCAAATTGACAAATGATACATACTTTCATCACTCAAGTCCTCTCAAACGATCTAGATCTATAAGCTCAAGATTCATTCCACTTGAGAACTATTTTTTTCTCTCTCCCCAATCCCTAAGGAATTACATAAAACTCCTGGACTAAAGGACACCAGCTGCTTCAGTTATCAAGCTTTATAATTTTGGGTTAGCTCATTTGATTGTGTGCTTCCTGGGTGCTAATTGCTTTGCATAAATCACCTCATCTAATGTTCACAGCTACCCAACATCTTTTGAGGCAAGCACGATTATCATGACTATTTCACAGAGGTAGACCCTTAGCCCTAAAGAGGGAAGTGACTTGGCTGGGGCATAGAACGAGTAAGAGGTGGAGACAGGATCTGCAGGCGTGACTGCACAGCCAGGAACTCTTATCCTTCTACACAAGGTCTCTTACTGAAGCCTGTGCCATCCGGCGCCCGGGTTCCTTCTGTGCTTTGCCTTAGTGGGGTCACTATCAGAGAAGACTCTTCCTGCATCCTCCCCTGGCTTCTGTGCTGACCCCAGAGTCACCTCTTAAAGGAACGGCTGGTAGAGTCATCAGCCTAAAAACCACAATAGTTTTACCCTCCTTTAGTGAAAAAACAGAAACACACAAGATCCCAACTAGCTAGCCCTTACCTGCCTCCTCTAGTTTCCAGGTCCAGCCCCGCATCCCAAGGTTTTCTTTCAGTTCCTCAGAGAGTTCCTCAGCTCTCAGCCTGTGTCTTTGGGAAAGCTGTTCTGTCAAGGATGCTGATTCCCACCATCCACAGACCCCGAGCTAATTAGCTCTTAGCCATCCTTCAGATCTCAGCTCCAAGGTCACTCCTTCAGGACTGTACTCCACTCACCGCAGACTACATCCAGTCTTTGCTATATCCTTCCTCAGCACTCAGTGCATTTCTTTGCTAACTTCTACAGTCATATCGTTATTTAATGAGCACCTCTCTCCGACTAGACTCGTGGCTCTCAAACTTTAGTTTGCATTGAAATGGCCTGGAGCATTTGTTTAAAAAAAAAAGATCTCTGGGTCCCAAGCAGCGAGGCCTCAAATTCTATAATAATAAGCTCTCTGGTGACACTCCTGCTGCTGGACTTGCAGCTGGTCCAGTGCAGTGGTCCTCCCCTTGGCTAACATGGCCCTCACCTGGAGAGTTTTACAAATGATCAGCGCCCAATCCTGACCCTCCAGAGGTTTTCACGTGATCGGGCTGGAGCGAAGCCCAGCGCAATTTGTCCAAAAGTACTGCATTAGACCAGTTGTCAGTGGGTCTGCTCCAGCTCACGGTGGATCCAGGCATTTCAGAGACAGATAGAAAGTTACACAGAAAACAGCCGGTAGTGAGTATTTTCGGTGCTCCCCGGGGGTTTTCAGTGGCTGAATATTCCAATGTAGACTAGCAGGTCTCCCTTCCAAGAGGTCAGGGGGAGGACTCAAACCTTCAACCTTTTGGTTAGCAGCCAAATGTGTCAGCCATTTGAACTACCTTGAGACTCCAAACAATACAGACTTACACGAAAGAAAAATGTGCATTTACCTAAACTTCAAATGTAGCTGTCTTGTCTTTCCAGGTGCAAAATCTGTCAACCCTACTTAGGGGTCTCGTTCTAATAGAGCAGCTATTGTATCATATATTTATTTCTTATATATGTGATTGTGAGCTGATTTTTGCTCTCTACAGGGAAAAAGTAGCCTGGAAGCCAGAGGAATTTTTTCCAATGATAATCAAGACTTATAATATGCTACCAACAGATTGTAATATCTTATCTGATCTCTCTTTAACATGGGGCAAATTCTCAATGGTCAAATAATTTAACGTGATGATTAAAAGACTTCCGGTTTCCTTTAAGTTCTGAGGCGATGGTCTCACCTGAGGGAAGCAGAGTGGTGACTCAGCATCCACGTGTGTTTCACATCAATCAGGGAGCCATATGGACACAGAGGACTTACACGAAAGAAAAATGTGCATTTACCTAAACTTGACACAGATGCCCTTTCACAGATCAGTGTAGGTAAAAACCCTTTAGTTACCACCATAAAAATAAGACTTCGACACATGCCTGCCTTTGATCATGCAAGTCTATCACACAGTGGTGCAGGACGTCCAGGGGCAAACTTTCCCGCTTTAAAGTACAAGCAATGATCTCATGTCTTACATAAATGAGTACTCTAAATTTATATTTTTGATGCTGTGGTGGTGGTCCTTAATCTCAGCTTGACATGTTTACAGCATGATGGGGAAAGTAGAGATTTCCAAGCTGAGATTCCTTTGGAAGTAGTGGCCATCAGGCAGCCTTCTGCCTCCTCACCTCTGCCTAGCTGACCTGCCAGGGCTCTGACTGAAGACCAATTGCCCCATGTAGATGTTTTACGTATTAAGCACTTAATAGAATTTAGACCTTTTAATAAATATCACTGTCTTTAACGTTCTGCAGTGCTTACTTGACACATTTAATTTGATGACTTTCACCCACCACAGGGTTTTAAGAACTGTCTAAAGGGGTGGGTTACTGAATTGCCACCTGGGCATCAGAGTGAATTCTAGAAACCTAAACAGCAGAGGATGAAAATATACACAAACACCACAGAGCCAAGGGAGCAGCAGCGGTAAACTGTGAGGTCACAGCTGATGGCACATTTACTCTACTTATTTCAACGCACCCCAAGTCCAACACGCAACAATCTTTCAGGATATTTTCCCTGAAATGCTAAATGCGTTCATCTTTTATAAGCAATTTTTCCCCAAAATATGATTGGTAGCTGTATAAAATAGCCACAATTACTGGTTCATTAGGTCAGGGTAACTTACCAAATCCGAAAGCGCTGGATCCCGCAATGCTCTGGGAAGCCTGGACACTTGTAGATGTGTACAGTCCTGTCACCAGCAGGCCATCAAAGAAGGTGCTTGTTGAAATTGTCACTAAAATGGGAGACAGAAAAAGCAACCTCAGTCGGAAGAATGAGTTACAGGTCTGCAGTGTCAGACATTATCAAAACAATCTTTACTCATTATTAACAAGTTATTTCTATCTTCCCCTTATTTAGTGTTTTCTCTATTTTAGAAACTATGGAGGGACAAAACGCAGCTCAGAGATGTGGAATCTATAATTGCTGGTCTTGAGTTTAGGGCGTCGGTTCTACCTCTCCACATTCATTGACACAGTGCTCATCTATGTAAAAATAAAATCTGCACACGTCTGTCTTCAGCGATCATGTCGGGAAGGTGGGTATCATGAAATGACCGTTTAGCTGAGCAAGGTGCTCTTGTATTAAGGGAATGCGCATGAGGAGGCCCAATGTCCACCTGCCACCCTACTACTAAATATATGCACATAGGTCCATTTCCCCCATAATCTTAAATATATTTATATATGTACATGTCTATATTTAGGCTTCTATGTATGCCCTTTGCCTCCTACTTCTTTCCTCTATTTCCTTACATTTTCCTCCTGACCCATTACCATGTTCAGCCTTCATTCTGGTTTCAGTAATTCCTCTCAGTTACCTTGCCCTTGGTCACTTCCTACCAGTCCTCTCATCCCCTCTCTACCATTGGTTTTGAACCATTTGTTGTTCCCTTGTCCCTAGGTTGGCCAACCCTCCTCCCTTTCCCTACCTCCCACACACCCATGTCCCTCTGGGGCCATTGGTCCCTTTATTTTCTTCTCACATTTTTTTTTGTCCAGCTTGTAGGCAAACAAGAGGTCATCTAGCTCGGAAACAACAAAGCCCACAAAGAAGAAGCACACAAACCTGTGTGAACACGAGGTGTTGACGGGATCAGGTAGCAGACACCAAAGAACAAAAACCATCATTGTGTGACCACCATCCCCATATAAACGCTGAAGACGAATGTGTGCATAAGTAAGTGTTGTGAAGAAGGCTGATGGTGCCCGGCTATCGAGACCTATAGCGTCTGGGGACTTAAAGGCTTGAAAGTAAACAAGTGGCCATCTAGCCCAGAAGCAACAAAGCCCACATGGAAGCAGCACACCAACATGTATGATCATGAAGGGCCAAAGGGACCAGGCTTCAAATACCAAAGATGGGGGGGGGGGAGGATCATATCATCATCAATGAGGGTGGCGTGTGATGGGGACCCAATACCCATCTGTAGACAACTGGACATACCCTGCAGAGGGGTAGTAGGAAGGAGATGTGTCACTTAGGGTTCAGTATAGCAATAATGAAACCCACAACCTTCCTCTAGTTCTTAAACGCTTCCTCCCCCCAAATACCATGACCCCAATTCTGCCTTGAAAACCTGGTTAGACCAGAGGATGCACAGCGGTACAGATGGGAACTGGAAACGCAGGGAATCTAGGACAGATGAACCCCTCAGGACCAGGGGTGACAGTGGTGATACCAGGAGGGAAGGGGGGGGGTAGAAAGGGGGAATTGATCTCAGGGATCTACATATAACCTCCTCTCTGGGGGATGGGCAGCAGAGGAGTGGGTGAAGGGAGACGCCGGGCAGTGTAAGATAAGATATAATAATAATCTATAAGTTATTAAGGGTTCATGGGGGAGGGGGAGGAGGTTGGGGAGGAAGGAAAATGAGCTGATTCCGGGAACCCAAGAGGAAAGCGAATTTTGGGAATGATGAGGGCAACAAATGTATAGGTGTGCTTTACACAATTAATATATGTATTGTGATGAATTGTATGAGCCCCAATAAAATGATTACAAATAAATAAATAAATAAAATCTGAAAACAACACAGTATTGAGTAGATAGCTCTCCCTCCTTCCCTCCAAACCCCTGAAAGTGGTGTAAGGCATTGCTGGAGTTTTGGCATTATGTTGAGATCTATCTTATCTATCTATTTATTTATATGTATGTTACGTATTTTTAATTGATGTGTCCCATCCTGTGGGAAACAAACTTACATGGGCTGAAAGAACAGTGAGATGCACTATGTTTTCTTTTTGTCAGTTTGAATTTCATAGATGGGTTCCCTGAAGCTCTCAACAAAAGTGGACTAATATGCATGAAGACAGGCGGCTCTTTTCTCCTTGTGAACCAGAAAGACCAGCCATCACACATTTTGATTTCAGAGCAACGTCTACAGAAGGCATCCAAGGGATTTTATACCAGAGAATCAGGATATTCCTGGGAAGAGAGGGATCAAATTAAACGTGTCTGTATGAGCCCCAGGTTTTTGTAACAGTTCATTTTCTTCACCACCTAAAACTGATCATCAGTTCCTCGTTGGCATTGTGCTTGCATTGACGTTCTGTTCCGGAGAGCAAGATGATGATTTTTACGAAAGAATTCGGAAGGAAGTCATAACCTGATTGTCCTTGTGTGCAACCGTGGGCTCTCACTGTGTGTATGGAAGGATGTGCACCAAAATGCGTGACGAATAAAGAGCATGACCGTGGAAGCACATCAAGTTTGGTGAGAAGGCTTACATTCCAGGAAATCTAGGGACTAGACTGGGTGTCCTCAGTATCTATGACGATGTACCACTACAGCACATCTATCATAGACTAGCATAGCACCATAAGACACCAAAAATGGCACTGGATGTTGGTATAAATCGCCTTCACATCCCTTAATAGAAAATAATAGCTACAGTTATGAGAGTTGGGCATCGAGGCAAGTGGTTTACAGGTATTATGTCATTCAATTGTCAACCCATCTCTATAAAGCAAGTACTATTACTACTCCCAGCATGCAAACGAGGAATGCATAGCACAGGAAAGGGAGTAAGACAGCAACAAATAGGATGTTGTAAAAGTTAAAATAGATAAATAAAAAATTACTTTAAAGCAGATTTCCTTAGTACACGGCAGAGCAGATCAATACCAAAAGACCTGAAAGGCTAGCCAAAGAGAGATGCAGAGACACCTCAGTTCTCACCTGGTGTATGTTTACACAAATTACTTCAAGAAAAAGACCCCTTGTTAGACACTGATTGACTATACTTCTCTGCTTGCTAGAGTTTGGAATTTAAAGTATTTGGGGGGAAGGAGGGAGGGATTGGAATCTGCACTGGAATAGATGTTGCTTTCTGAAATGCTGTCGAACAAACATATGTAATGTACAACCCATGTGAACTGCAAACCGGCCTCTTTCTTTAAAAAAGAGGAAATGTAACCCAGACTCTTAGGGGATTTAAGGCATCTTCTGATTCCCAAGGTCCCCTTTCCTCAGGCAGAAAATGAGTCTAATTTCTGTACTTAAAAACCATCTGACACAGTTTGGATTTCCTGTTAGTCTGTGGGAGTTTCAGAAGGCCTCCAGCCTACACCGGTTTTCACTAGTGAACAATGAGCAGTAGGAGCTGGCATGCTGAAACCTTTACAACCAGGAGCTTTGACACTGAGAGTCCTTTAGGAACATGCTACTCTCTGCCTTTTCCCTCAAAAGCTCCTACTTGATCTCTGCTGTCTCCGTAAGACTGTCAATGTTTTCTTTGGCAGTTCCAGGGATCGAGGGCCCTCTGGTGACTTGATCACTGACTGCCAGTGCTCTGCAGTGATTGATGCGTGTATGCCTCTGGGTTATCACCCCCCACCCACCCACCTACCCCTGGCCCCAGGAGACAGTGCTTTCCCCTTGAGGCCTGTCTCTAACCTTCTCCTTTACTATCTTCCTGAACTTTCTCCACCAAGCTTCATTAGACCCAAGTTGCACTGCCTTACTCTGTGTGACCTAGCCTGGCATATTCGCCACTACTCCACTGAAATGTGCTCTTCAAGCACTCTTTTAGCTCCTCTGATAGCATAGTGGGTTATGTATTGGCCTACTAAATGCAAGGTCAACAGTTCAAATCCACCAGCTGCTTCACAGGAGTAAAATGAGACTGTCTGCCCCAGTAAAGATCAATCGTCTCAGAAACTCACAAGGGCAGTTCTACTCTGTCCAATAGTGTCACTGTGAGTTGAGAATGACTTGTTGACAGTGAGTTTTGAGGGAGTCTTAGTCTGATAAAAAGTTGGAGGGGAAGAAATCGTGTAGCCCTGATGGCACAATGGCTGAGCAGTCATCTGCTGGCTGAAAGGTCTGTGGTTCACACATGCTCAGCTGCTCATGGGAGAAAAAAGACCCGGAGATCTGCTCCCATGAATGCACGCAGCCTTGGGAACCCTCCAGGGCAGCCCTGGCCTGCCTTGCATAGTCCCTGAGTCTGAACGGAGCTGGTGGCACACACATGTCATCCCAGCTCATCGTGTGCAGCCGCCAAGTGGCCATCATCCAGGCAGTTGTAATCTTTCTGCTAGCAAAAGAACGGTTTAAGATGAAGAGAAAGTTCACTCGGCACTAAGGCGGCTCACGATAAAGCTCACATTTTGGAATGTAAAATCATTTTAATGCGTGAACTCAGAAGAAATTTTACATCTTTTGACGTTACCGTAACAGTTGGTCCAATGATGAGCCTGATAAACTAAAAGGAAAGAAGAAAGATCCTGTCTGCTATTTATAAGAAATAAGCTTCAAATAATAACAGGGACATATGAAGGTAAGTCAAAAAGTACAGCCACAAAAGCATAGAAGCGTTTATGAAACGTACCAAAATGTGAAGTTATTGTTTCTCAACATATCCTTCATTTTGGTCTATATACTTCTTTTTTTTTCCTTTTCATACATTTTACTTTTTCTTTTTTTTTAAATCATTTTATCGGGGGCTCATACAACTCTTATCACAATCCATACATACATTAATTGTGTAAAGCACATTTGTACATTCGTTACTCTCATCATTCTCAAAACATTTGCTCTCCACGTAAGTTAAAAAGCTAGAGGGGAAGCAGTATTGTAAATGCAGTTAGGAGATCAAAACTAAAGCACCAACAAATGCATGAGAAGTTAGATGACAGGAGAGACTGCTACAAGGGTCACTAGGGTCAGAATCAACCCAATGGCACTAACAACAACACTAAGTGACTGACATAGAAGCACCGGTTCAACTCC